ACACACACACACACACACACACACACACACACACACACACACACACACACACACACACACACACACACACACACACACACACACAGGGTCTTTCATGTTTGAATTGCCTTGTGTTGAAAGGTGCTATAAATAAACTTGCCTTGTCACAGACCTTTTCAAACATGTCTTCCTTCCATGTGGTCTCATCACTTCCCTCCTGCTTCTCCCTGCAGGCCACCTGACAGACGACCACCTGGTGGATTTCCTGCAGCGTTGTCAGAAATCCCTGCGGCCAAACGGCCTGATCGTCATCAAGGACAATGTGTCGTACGAGGGCGTGGTTCCCGACGATGTGGACAGCAGCGTGTGCCGAGACCTGGACATCGTGCACGGTCTGGTGAGCAGAGCGGGGCTGAGCATTGTTCACGAGGAGCAACAGATGGACTTCCCTAAGGAGATCTACCAAGTACACACGCTGGCTCTCAGATAGGACTCTTTCACCTCGCAGACCTTGTATATATGCCGTGTTTCTGATGATGTGGAAAGTATGTCAGCTCTCAGCGTATGATGTGAAACGATCTGCTGTGCTTTGTGGCGTGTGTGTTGCGAACGCCATGCATCAGTGTGAATGCAGAGTCATCCTTTCTGAGCTTTAAGGTATTACTCTTGGAATATTTGCTATCACCTATTCAAGATGGACACAATCGAGCATGCACTTCCTGTCAGTTTGATGTCCAGCAGGTCCAATAGATAGTCTGATGCCCTGTAATTTGTTTAGAAATGGGGAACACATCATGCTCGTGCTGCTGCATATTTATTTATGACCCACAGGGGGCAGTGTTGTTGAATGTGAGACTATCGGGTCCACAGGATTCATCAGCGTCACACACTGGAGACTGCATCTTCAAGCAGTCTCACACGGACATATTCTCAATGTTTTTAAAGAGAGATTTTGTACGTTTGACATCTTAATGACAACATGTTTGCAGATCTATGTGCTATCGTCGCAATTCTGATCTTGTATCAATGATAAAGAGATGATTTGGTTTTAGCCCCTGGACTGGACACTTTGCTATTTGTCCAGAAAAAAGGTGTTGTTCATTTTCAGGAAAGAGACCGAGCTATGTCAGTAAGGTCTGGTAAAGTCAAATATGTGCCACCTACTTCATATATGAACTTAAAGTGGACCTATCATGCTATTTTTAGGCAATAGCATAGGTCTCAAAAAAACATGTCTATGAAGTGTTTTGCTCAAAATACCAAACAGATCACCCATTCTAGCCATGCCTCATATCCCTCTATTTCACTTCCTGTTTCAAAAGTGCTGATTTGGGGTATAACACTTTTAAAAAAAGGAGGGGGCTGAGCTCATGCGGGACCCGGCAGCTACTGTCTAAACTAAATGCTGCCCTGATGAAACGCCATATCATGGATTATCAAGGATTATCTCTGAAACAGTATGGAGCTCAAAGGCTTTCTCTCTTGCCGGTTATACCACAAGGTGAGTTCCTTTTTACTTCCTGCTTCTTCACACACATGCTCTCCAGTACAGGTTAGCTCTGAGTGTTAGCCATGCTAATGTTAACCCCGACCATATTACGTCCAAAACAGTCGGGCATTGTTTCTGATAGCAACGTTTCTGATAGGGCCGTGGGTCCACATTTCAGATATTACGTCATATCGGACGCAAATCTGGATCAGCTCCGTTGTTCCCCGTTTTTAGAGATTTGATTACGGAGGAAAAGAGAGGGTTTTATTTTCTGACGCTGCGTGAGTTCCCTGACACACCGGGGACACAGTTATGTTTTAAAGACTTCAAAAAGTGCATTTTACATGATAGGTCCCCTTTAAACATTGATAACAAACATGATAATTGCTCGTCTTCACAGGAGAACCCAACGAAAGGATATTCAGATTACGTTTATTAAGGCATATTTAAAACATCAATTAGTTATATTTCACAATGTGAGCAGCACCATTGAGCCATACTGTCAGCTTCTTCAGATCACATTATAATACATTATATTCAAGATTGTGTATCAGTAAGCTACAATGATGAAGTGAGGATGAAAATACCTATCAGGTTATCCTTTCATTTTATGTAGGAATCTGTTATCAGACAATTTCGTGCGAATCATTTAAATATAAGTCACCCAATTAACTAAAGTCACCGACTCACAGTTCCTCCAAAAACCAGTCATGCTGCCGTTTACCTCCACGTGTGTCCAGGATCTCATTATTTTATCCTATTGGGAGAAATTGTCATACGTTTGAGTTATCACGGGAAACCATTGACCTTGACTTTAGACCACTTGGATGTAAACGGGTAATCCTTCAGTACCAGTTTACGTTTGTGCCAATTTCTCATCTTTGCTTTTAGTAGAGGGCCCTACAAGTTGAGGTAGTGGAAGTACCCGAGGTAGAACAAAACACAACCATGTTTTTATTTACTATAATATGTTTAGTTATGAGATGGTTGTATACACACGTTTTAACTCCGTTTCATAAACTATACATATTATAGTAAGGAAAACCATGGTTGTGTTTTGTTCTACCTCGGGTAGGGGTATCTTGAAAATGAAAGCTTTTGATTGGCTGTTTGTTCCTCCATCTTTCGGCGTGTTTGACTGCAGACGATGGGTTTGTTCTCACTTGATGATGTGAACACATTTCATATCCGTGTGGCGTTCAAGACACAAACGCTGCTTGAGAATCTCCCGTCAATTCACACGGTGGAGAACGGTCTGGAAGGATGCTGACTGATGGATGATTTTGCGGAGATGTTTTCAGGACCAGGTCTCGCTCTGGAATCGACCCGTCCTCTCCATGGTGAGCAGCATCTGCTCGGCCTCCTCTGAGGACAGACCCCCCTCCTGCTGGAAGACCTCTTTCAGAGTGTCACACACACTGGTGGGCATGTCTTTAGCATTACTGCAAAGGAGAACAACAAGGTACACACACACTTTATATTCACATACTAATAATCAGTAATAGCACTTTTCATACAACAGGTGCAGCCCTATTCAATGATAACTAATATTAAAGGTGTCACAGGTCCAAATTGCGCCACTTGGGTTGCCAGAAATACATGAAGAAATATTTGTAAGTATTGTATTTTAATGTCTGAACACACTCCTGCTTCTTGAGATCAATAGAGTATCTATCTATTCAGAGTGTACAATTTTCACAACACGTGATCCTAATGCAAAGTGGTGGGGAAAAAATCGGCCATTTCCAAAAGTGGTGGAGACATGTCCCCCAGCGTCCCCAGTATAAAGGACAGCTGTGATTGGGCGCCTATCCTAAATGCCTACATGTGAATAAAGGAAAGGTTTAGAGATGGACTCACCCAGCGATGTAGAAGCAGGCACTTCTGTTGGCGATCAGATCCCACAGCAGCTCAGCGTTCTCCCTCACACGCTGCTGCACATACACCTTCTCCTCCTGAAGCACACACACACACAGTCACACATTTGAATACTTTATTTGGTTCCACAAATTATTAAGACAGGGAACCAAATATATCGGGGCTAAGCAGCACAGAACACTTAGGGGAACACATAGCATCTCCTTCTCCACACGGCTAATAGCTGAAACAGAGCAATATTTGTTTGGCTTTCCTCTTTGACATTCCAGCAATTCTCCATGGTGCATTTATATACATGGCCAGGACTTCCGAATATGAGTATGCTGTATCTACACTTGTACCCAAAGCTGGTTATCACATCGAGCAGTGGTTGGTATTTGATATACAGTGGGGCAAAAAAGTATTTAGTCAGCAACCAATTGTGCAAGTTCTCCCACTTAAAAAGATGAGAGAGGCCTGTAATTTTCATCCTAGGTATACCTCAACTATGACAGACAGAATGAGAAAAAAAAAATCCAGAAAATCACATTGTCTGATTTTTAAAGAATTTATTTGAAAATGATGGTGGAAAATAAGTATTTTTTTAAGTGGGAGAACTTGCACAATTGGTGGCTGACGAAATACTTTTTTGCCCCACTGTACTTGTCCTGGAAAGCCTGGTCCATGTACAGGTCAAAGGCACAGCCTACTTCTAATATTAGCACCTCCCTGTGGTTGGTGTCGACAAAAACAACATCCACACACAGTCATTTTTACACACACACACACACACACACACACACACACACACACACACACACACACACACACACACACACACACACACACACACACACACGGAGGGAGGGAGCGAGCTCTGTGGTTGTAACGCATGGGAGGGTGAGTGCAGTAATAATGGTGGTGGTAGAAGTAATTTTGTATCTAAGTGAAATTAGCAATACTACATTTTAAAGGAAGGGGTGTGTGTGTGTGTGTGTGTGTGTGTGTGTGTGTGTGTGTGTGTGTGTGTGTGTGTGTGTGTGTGTGTGTGTTACCTGGTCTCGTGAGAAGGCGGTGAAGAGGGTCAGATGTCCGGCCTCCATCTTCTCCTCCCACTCTGACCGGTAGAAGAAGTCTTTGGATTCAGAGCGACAGCCGAAGAACAGAACGTTGTCTAAACAGCAGGAGGATCAGAGCGAGTTAGACACCTGAACTTACTGTATGAAAGAACATCCAGAACATTCATCTGGTTGATACTTAGTGATCATAAGTGAAGTCGTTCATTCAGAAACAAGGAGACGGCGTCAGACAGGTGGAGGTCTCACCGTGTTTTCCCTCAGCGATCCTCTCCTGTACGGCCGAGCGGAAAGGGGCCAGTCCTGTCCCGGGACCAACCATTATCACGGGGGGGTCCTTGTCTTTGGGGAACTTCAGACTTCCCTTCTTCACCCACAGAGGCACATACACCTCACCTGTAATACCGCACAAGAAAATGTCACATGACCTCGCAGATGATCAAAATAGTTTGCATCAGGGTTTAATTTGACTACGTGGTATTTTACAAACGCTCTTAAATGAGGTTTACAATATTTGGTCAGGAGGGTAAACCAAGCATTTAAACATTCAACTGGATTATATTTGAGATGAGTCTTTACTCTTATTTCCTTTTTTTGTATAATATGTACTTTCACCGCTTTGATTCTATTAGTACGATAGATGTATCGACACTGTGCTGCTGTTAGTCTCTCCACAGTCAATGAGTGAGTGTGTGTGCAGGTAAGAGTGTGTGTAGTGTTTACATGGCTGTTGTAAAGCTAGAATTGATGCAGTGAAAATATTATGGTGAGCTTGCATTATTTCTGCTATAGTATGGGCGTAAATATAAATGTAGCCACCTTTATATTTGATGTCTTAACTTACACTGAACAAAAATATAAACGCAACACTTTTGTTTTTGCTCCCATTTTAGATCTAAAACATTTTCTACATACACAAAATAACCATTTCTCTCAAATATTGTTCACAAATCTGAAAAAATCTGTGATAGTGAGCACTTCTCCTTTGCCGAGATAATCCATCCCACCTCACAGGTGTGGCATATCAAGATGCTGATTAGACAGCATGATTATTGCACAGGCGTGCCTTAGGCTGGCCACAATAAAAGGCCACTCTGAAACGTGCAGTTTTGCTTTATTGGGGGGGTCTGGGGGGGTCCGAAAACCAGTCAGTATCTGGTGTGAGAGTTAGGATTAGGGTTAGGGTAATGTTGTGAATCGAGTGGCCCATGGTGGTGGTGGGGTTATGGTATGGGCAGGCGTATGTTATGGACGATGAACACAGGCCACTCGATTCACAACATTACCCTAACC